TCAAGGACTATAATAAGCTTGGATTTTTAAGGACATTTATCGAGGACTATAATAAGATTGGATTTTTAAAGAACATATTTTGCTCTGGTGATTAAAAAACTCCGCATCAAAGCAAAATTATGAAAAATATTTCAGCGTTGAAAATATATTCCAAGGACTTCCTATATTAGTTTTTAACACGTTATATTTGTGGAATATAGATAGTATCTCTAGAAAGTGACCTGTATGTAGTAAACACTTAAAAGGCCTTCCAAAGTACATTGGAAGTTCCCCAACTTCTGAAATCCTCCAGTAGCTTCGAAAACCGACATTGTATTTTGTTAATTATATTTAGAGTATTGTAGGTTTAAATCTATACCATTCCCATTTTGTTCTTAATAATGAATTAATCCTTCTGGTATGCATTGACTAGACCGCATCCCAATCTCCTTTCCAAAATAACTCCACACCCCATTAATAACAGAAATACTGGAGTTGCACTATCTACCATCAGCATTGTTGTAGGGCTTTTTCTTCTCCTTCTTTTCTGCTAATGATGGTGCAGGAAACAAAAAAAATCTATGGCAAATATCCAAACGAAGGGATGCTAATTAAAACAAAAATAGACAACTTGCATTTCCCTCTAAAGGATTTTCCTGTTGGTGGAAACGGGTAAACGAATACCTAAAAGTGTTACTAACAAAATTTCATCATATCCTGGCTAATGAATATCATTATGTTCGACATACATATTTTGTTAGGTAGCTATGTTACAAAGAAAACTGAGTCATAGAAAAATAGGAAGAAAATTATACCCGTTTTTAGGTCTCTTTTGATTTCCTACATCATGTTTTCGAATACTTGTTATTTGTTAGGCTAAATTTTATTATCACTTGGTAGTTTAGTTCTTTATAGCTGTACGACACCCTAATTAAATAGTTTCATTGCTTTTGGGTTTCCTGTTTTATCACCATTTAGTTGGTTTGGTTGCCTGGCTTTTTAACTATTTTTCCTATCTTTTTTGATACCAACTTTTTACGACCAATTTTTTATATTTTCTGAAAAAAATGTTTTTTTTCCTCTACAACAATCTTGACAATATATAGACTTGTTGTTGTAGAAAACAAACCAACGCTAACCGACTGTAATATCACGCGTGACCTGTGCTCTTATTTTCCATTTAATATACGGGTTTTTTGTTGGTTATGGAATGAGTTAAACACCACACTACTGCTTTTTACAACAAACACATGGGACGGGACAACATTTTACGTTTCATGTTGGTGTTGCCTTTCCAACTAGCACAAACTTCCAGGGAAACAGAGAGACCTACATACATACAAACGTGTATAGACAATGACAATGTCATCATCATCAACAACAAGGAGAATAAAAGGACGGAACGTTGAAACATATTCTTCATAAAAATAATGATAGTCTTTTGTTGTTGTTGCTTTTGGAGGTGTTTGAGGAGACAATGAAATGTTGACAATAGGAGCTACACCAACAATGGCATCAGCAGAAGAAGCAGCACCACCAACAACAACAAACAATCAAATATAATTGAATCGTCATAAAAAGCGACAATAGTATAGTCCCCACACCAGAATCACGACAGTGGTAGTGATGCCATAATAAATTTTAAGCTAATTTAAATTGGGTTACCATTTCCAAAACAACCCTTAATCAAAAAAAAAAAAAAAAAAAAAAATCGAAATTTGTATGTTGCTTATAGTACGTTTACATTTAACCGGATTTCGTTAACCAAGTAGGTTTCAATTGTCAATTTCTTTGCATATATGTCAAATAAATCCTCATAAAGTAGGTTAACCCGGTAAAAAAGTTCTAATGTATATGCCGTTTTATGAGGAAATAAAATAGAAACCAATGCACCGTTAAGGAGAATTTGTGGCAACACCGCCAAGAAGCAATAACCACCCCGACAAGAAGACCCATATAATTTACAACTAAAAATCGATAGTAGGTCTCCTATATAGAACACCGATAGGTATGCTATGTATTGAGTGTCTCGAATACCGATAAACGATCATCTATATATATATGAAAGAGTGATTGAAGTGCATCTATAGAAATAAGGCCGATGGCAGGTCTTCTATGAAATACCAAAGCGAGGTATTCAATCCATAGAAGACAAATTTGAGCTTTCTTATTTGCAGAAGCCCGAAATGAGGTCGCCTATCTATAGAATACAGGCGATTTTCTGCCAGAAATAAAACCCCGATTGGAGATCTTCTTACCTTAATCTGTGGGAGGCCTTCGATTTACAGAAACCCTAAATGAGATCGCCAACAGAAAAAATACGAATAGAGATCTTCTATCCTTAGAAAGTGTATGGGAAGTCTTCGATTTACAGAAACCCTAAATGAAGTCACCAATTATAGCATACACATCTATACAAAAAGGTCGGTGACAGGTTTTCCATCAATGGTCTTCAATTGAAGATTATTCAAAGGTTTTCTATTAAGAATCCCCATTTGAGGTCACCTTCCCATAGAATACCATTTGGAGATTTTATTTACTTTGAAGATATATGGTGGGTTCTCTACACATTAAATACCGACATATGTGAGGCCTTCTATAAAAAACAATACCAATGGAAGATAGACGGGTGCTTATCTATTCATATATAGAAGCTGAATCCGATAGATCTTCTACACTTAGAAGCTTGATAGGATGTTCTCTATTTACGAAAGCCCGAGATGAGGTCACTTATCAATAGAATACCTTAGAAGAACGATGGTAGGTCCTCTGTTATAAATAAAATACCGATTGAGATCTTTTATCCTAAGAATGCAAAATGCAAGGTCTTTTATAAATAAAATACTACTGGGAGTATTCCATCTAGGGTAGACCGAGGGGTACTTATCTATTCACAGATTGAAAATCTATTCGTTAGGAGATCTTTTATACTAATACGATCGATAGGAGGTCCTCTGTATATAAAATACCGATGACAATCTTCTATCTTTAGAAACTCGATGTCTTCAGAAACTCGAGGTCTTCTATAAATGTAGTACTGTTGGGACTGATAGAAGACTTATAAAAGAGTAATTTGAGGTCTACTATATACATCTGTAGAAGAATGATCGGTCTTTTAACAATGAGCCCGAAATGAGGTCGCCTTTTCATAATATATCGATGGTTGGTCCTATTTCTTCAATCTTTACAAGATCAATTGGAAGTCCTCTGTACATAAAATACCGACAGATATGAGGTCTTCTATAAAAACAGCTGGGAAGTATTCCATCTATGAACGGGTAGTAACTATCTACCCATAGATAGAAGACCTATCTCATAGGAGATCTTCTATACTTAAAGATCGATAGGAGGTCCTGTGTACATAAATACCTATAGAGATCTTCTGCCCTTAGAAGATCGATGTGACTTCTATAAATAAAATATTGCTGTTCACTTATAGAAAGCATATAACAACTAATTTGAGGTCTCTTGGTCTTGCTGAAGACCGACTGCTAGTCATATATTCATATATAAAATGTTCTTTAAGGTCTACGATAAATAGAGAACCAGTGAAAGCTTTTGTATGGGGGTTTCGATAAATGTTAAAAATATCCTTAATTTCGTTCAGATCGAAAGTTTTATATAGCACACGTTAAAAATATCCTTAATTTCGTTCAGATCGAAAGTTTTATATACCCCACCATGAGGTGTATATTTAAGATACCTAAAACCTGTCGGGACCCTTCTATGGAGTCCTTGAACGAATATTAAATGTTTTTTTTAATAATATTTTCTACTCAATAGAGTCCTATTGCGATCATTAGATATTTAGACACTCTTTTCAATAAAATCGAAATTTGCGAGGTACAGTTATATAGGGCTTGTCCTAAAAATTGCACCAATATTGATGATTTCGGGTAGAACGATTTCCTACCCAATAAGAACACAAAATATCCAAAATTGCAGCCAATTCGGTTGAACAATCTTGCCAAAATCTCCATATTCCAGTGGACCTACTTTCCACATTTTCTGCGATGTTTTTTCTAACCCGAAATGACATGACACATTTAATTTACACTTCAACTTATGGTGAAGGGTATATAATTATACAACTAGTTCACTGTTGGCGACAACAAAAACAACAACAAAACACAAATTGAAATTAAGCTTTTGTTTTTATTGAAAGACTACATACACACTCACAACCGAGAGACAAGTACATTTTACACGAAACAACTTCATGTTTTTCGTTTTTAAGGGAAAAATGTAACAACTTATTTCATTTTCTGCACAGACGACCGACATTGCTATGGAATGATGGGGGATACAGGGCACAAAGCAATAAAACATGGCGACATTGTTGTATGTGTCGTGTATTCTTCGTCAAATCCAAAAAAAACACACACACCCGGGAAAAGTATAAGTATTGTTGTGTTGATGACATGCTGGCTGCATGTGTTCCATACCCAGTTCCAAAAACCTGAAAAAGATACGAAAATGATATGATGTGACTGAATGAGTGACTGTATTAATACAACAGTAGCAGGGATACACTCAAAGAAAAATGTGTGTGTGTAAAAAATCAGAAAAATTGGGAGAAGGTTTCGATTAGTCGGTTTTCAGTTTCAGTGTTCAAATCTATGCTTATGCTAGAAAAAAACTATTATTAATTATTAATTTACATTGTATTACAAGGTGAGCTCTGAAGTGTAATTCCAAAACATTTCTATTCGAGTGTAAAATGAAATTGTAGTATTAAAGCACAATACTCTTCTCCCCCTAAACCATGATATGTAGAAGACTACAAACACACATACCTATATAGCATGTGACCCCCCATTGTTGAGCTTGAATGGGCTTTTTATGGTTAAATGGTGTTTGTCACCGTTTAATGGTGTTTAAAGGCATTACAACACCGCTGGTGTTTTTCACTGTGTGTGTGTTGTTTTAATCTATTGTCGCTCTCATATAGAGGCGAGGGAGATATCAAAGATTTTAATCGTTTTATACTAAATCAATGTCTTCTCATTCTTTCTTTGCAGATTTCTCCGAATTCCCCAGCACAAAAATATCACAATGAAAAAATCAGCGATGTTCAAACACATCACATGAAATTATTACAATACGAAAGCTCTAGTACAAATGCACCCGCAGTGGCGCCAACCACCAATCCAACATCCACACAACACCAACAACAATCAAAGTCAGTTGGAGGTGGTGCTGGTGGCAGTCATTCAATGCGGGATGTGCTATCGAATCCGGTGCATACATCTGTGGTGCAACCAACAACGGTGATAATACGCAAAGATTTTCATAGTTTTAATTTTTCCGATATTGAATTGCCGGTGGAGAGGCCAACAGCATCGGTGCACTATTTGCGAAATAAACATTTGTTGCACGATTTGTCACAGCGTTCAGTGACGGGAACACCGAAACCACCCACCACCGAATTGGATGATATCTTCATTAGTGTGAAGACGACAAAAAGTTATCACGACAGCCGGCTGGCAATGATTGTCAAGACATGGTTTCAATTGGCCAAAGATCAGGTAAGTGGCGAATTGTAAATTTAGCTGTTAAGAAAAAGAAAATAATATTTTGAATTAGAAAAATTGGGTTGGATATAACAAATTTGATTATCAAGAAATTGAATGAAAAGAGTTTTTTATCTACATCTGAACCACATTTTAAAAACTTCAATAGGGTTAGTTCTTACGCCCAAATTGCAGCAATTTGGATAGTGAAATGCAGACACTTGCCTCACAATAACTAAACTAGGAAGCAGAACCTCTATTATATTATTTTTATTATGAAAAACGAACGAGGCCGTTATATAAGTGTTATGCCAAAAAGATAACCAATACCATTTTATGAAAATATTTCTTATAATTTCAAAATTCCGGAAAAATGTGGGTAATGTTATATAAAGACTATATCCAATCGGAATTCTAACTATCAAATTGTGACCAGTTCGTTTAGAAATCTTGTCCAAAATCCTTAAAAAATTAGGAGTTACCGTTATAAGTCAATAATCTTGAAAATCTTGAAAATATCGAAAATCGACAAGGAGGAAAGGGGTTTCGAAATTTTCGAAAAGTATTTTCTTAAAGAATCAGATCCGATATAGTCCAATATTGTTAATTTTTCTTAGAGATATTTGCAAGGCAATCGGACATCAAAACCATAAACGTTAATCAATTCGATTGAAAACGTGGCATTGTGCAAATCGAAGGGTACATATAGGAACTTTGGTGCACCATTTACATAAAATCGGACGAAAATATATATGGGAGATATGTCGAAATCTAAGCCGATCTTCCTGAAACTCACCAATCACCGGGACCCCCGGGCCGCCCCCCTGCGTACGTCCCTGATGGGAGCTATATTTAAATCTGAACCGAATTTTAAATTTAAACACAAAAAATTTAACACACATAATTCTAGACCTAATTCATTACGCTGTACCAAATTTCGTGCAAATCGAAAGATATATAAAGACTTTGGTACACAATTTCCCTTAAATCGGACGAAAATATATATGGGAGCTATATCCAAATCTGAACCGATTTTCACGAAACTTTGCACACATCATTCTAGACCTAATTCATTACGCTGTACCAAATTTCGTGCAAATCGAAAGATATATAAGGGCCGTTTACATTAAATCGGACGAAAATATATATGGGAGCTATATCTAAATCTGAACCGATTTTTCCCAATTAGGGTTCGTCCTTGGACCGAATAAGTGACCTATGCCAAATTTCATCCAATTTGGATTATAAATGCGACCTGTACTTTGTTTACAATTTAACATCGACAGACAGACGGACGGACGGACATGCATAAATCTACTCAGAAAGTGATTCTATGCATATTCTCTAAAGGAACCATGTGTCTATCTCGTTTCCTTTTGCCTGTTACAAACATATGCACAATGACATAATACCCTGTACCACAGAGTGGTGAAGGGTATAAAAACGTTGGTAAAAGTTCGAAATCGCATTTTCAGATAATAAAACCAATAACTAATGTGACCCCATCTATAATCTTATAAGCAATATTTTTGTAAAATATTGCGAGGACTGTGTCTTGTGATATTTGGACTCCGGTAAAAAATTGAGGACTAAAAGGACACTTAAGGAATCGAGTTAGAAGTACGATGTTTTCTACTTAATAATCCCTCATTTGATTTTACTAAAGAAATGCATTCTCAAATATATATATATATATATATATACAATAGCACCAAATCAGGATATGAAACTATATCTTCATGTATAATAGGGTCGCCAGCAAAAAAATGATCTCGCCACTGAATTGGGCTTTTATTAAAATTAAAGAGATGTATGCAATTAAAATTACAATAAGTTGGAAATAGAGCCAAAAATCGATGGTGACGGACCTGAACGTGGACCAATCTTCGTATTTGACTTACCTACAATAGATTTGCAGTGTATCTGGAACTGATAGATAGACAGATCGACATTGCTAGATTGTATAAAGAATGTTGCCTTTTACAGTACAAAATTATTTATGCCCCGTACGTATGAAAATCCTAGTTTTATGCTGTGAATGGAAGGCCTAATTACATGGCCACCTATCTATAGAAATTCTGTTCCATTCAATATTTCTTAACATGTTTTTTTTTCTATGGATGCTTGAATCTCCATTGAACCCTATAAATTACATATGTCATTAAATCATTATTCTATATATACGAACTCTCTTTTTTCCACAATTTTCCTTTAAGGGGACCCCCCCATTCTCGGGGTCAAAATTGTTGTTGATATAATTCGAATCTACACTAATTAAACAATGTCCCTACAAAATTTCAAGTGAAAATCTCAAGAACTCATTGAAGATATATCCGATTTATTGTGTCAACATCAAGTGACTGAAGGGCTTCTTAAACTTTAAACGAGTTTTTCTTAAACATTTTTTTGCGAATGGCGGGCACGATTCTCAAAAACTAATAATCCAATCGGTTCCAAATTTTGCAAGGCTTCTCTGGGAGTGTATATAATTTGGATAAAGCCAATCGGTGAAGATCTTCCTTATTTTTTAACTTGGTTTTTGGTAAAAAATCGGCGATTTTCCAAAAATATTTTTTCAAAGGTCCACCATTTTGTTAATTTTAGAGCGAAGTCTATATTCGGATTCCGATGTTCCAGTGAGGAGTTATCATGCCCGCCATCAAAAATAAGGACTTTTCTTTAATTACAAAAAACAACAACAAAACAATAACAAAATTTTTTTTGTAAATTATTTTTCTTCTCTTTTAAATCTTCAATTATATATGTGCAAAGTTACAAACCTCCACAAGCATTAGTATTGATTTACCAGCCCATTTAAAATCTTGAAAAATTACAATCGAGAATGGGGGGGGGGGGGTTCCCTTAAATCGTTTATAATTTGTTTACTGAGTACACGTTATATTCCCGGAATACCTCTTTAAATACAAAAAAAAAAAAAAAAGGGAAAGTGAAAATCAGAAATTATTCAATTTTTTCTTCATTTTTGTTCTTGTCCTGAAATCACTGCATTAAAAAAACACCTTGGTATGATATAAAGGAAAAGGAAAATTTTTCAAAATTATGAAAAGAAGACGAAAGAACAAAGAATTACGAAAACCAACCCTCCGTACGTTTTCACTCACACACACACACTTCCCTACTTATGATGGAGTCTTTGAGCATGCATACCTTGAAGAGTGTCTTTAAGAACTATATATATGTATGTCAACACTTGTTAGGGCATAAAACTAGAACTAAGTGAAGGACTGTGCATACTCCATGAAGTACCAAGTAGTACATGTGTACGTACGACACCCAATAGCAATTCCACCATCCCACAGCACCTCAGCTATAATATATGAAATTGCCATGTGTAGAAAACTAAAGAGAAAAATTAAATTAAGGAAAACGAAAAAAAATTGAAAGCCATTTCATGAATGGCTGACAATTTTAATAACAATTCATCGGTGTTGGAAAATTCCCCTTTGCTATGGGCAAGGTTGAAAATTTTTAAAAAAAATGTGAAATTGAAAATCCCTTGAATAAAGTTCTCACAGTTTTTGTTTTTCCAATCACCACATATACATTGCTGGGAGAATTGAGGGGCCCTAATTAATTGAAGATTTATGTTTATATCATTGAATCTCTTTACCCATGTGTGCCAAAGAATGAATCACCACCATTAAATGTAACACATTAGGGTAATATATTTTATTTTTAGTTCCGTGTGAACAACATTTGGGCTAGATATCATTTAATTAAAATATTTTATTGTGGGAATTTTTTTGTTGGAAATATATATTTTGTTGTTGCTAAAAATAGATTGATAATTTATTGCATTTGGGATTATTTATATAGACTAAAAAATTTAATATTATTAAGTCGTATTTTTTATAATCAAAAATGTGACCATTAGCTTCAAAATACCCTCTTCCACGAAAAATTATAATTGAAACTGGATTGTGGATGATTGAAACTGGATTGTGGAGGGAAATCGAGAAATCAAAAATATGCTAACAGCAATTTGTTCTCATTATTTACGTTTGTTTATCTGTATGCGTAATGGTATTCCAGAGCCCATAACTTTGAAATTCATCGGCGTATATTCCTTGAGGGGGACACATTTATAAATCCTCAAAGTTTGTGTGTTTTATCTCATCAAATAAATGGGGTTTTTATGTTTCGGTGGCCTTAACTATGGTCATAGTCGGCGCAACTTTCTTCTTGATTTTTAAAAAGTCAAATCTCTAGTTTAAAACTAAAGTATAAAATCCGCTTATGGTCTTAAAACTATGGACATAGTCGGCGCAACTTCCTGCTTAAATATTAAAAAACTAAATCTCTAGTTTAAAACTAAAGTATAAAATCCGCTTATGGCCTAAAATTTTTCTAAGATATGGCCAAAAATATAAAAATATCTGAATTTATCAATATTTGAAAATTTGAGTAAACATGTTTTAGAGGTCATAACATAACAATTATCTGAGACATGGCTTAAAATAAATAAGTACCCAAAATGTTCAATGTTAGAATTTTTTGCGTAGTCATTTTTCGAAGGGCATACTTTTTTAACTAATCGAGACATCTTCGTGAATTAACTTGATAATTAATGACAAATATGTGAAGTTAAAAAAAAGATATAAATGATGGATATATATCCTGATGATTTTATGGAATACCACACAAATTACTCACTGTCTCATTAGTAGACTTTAGGCATTTTTGAGGAACCGTTTCCATATCTTTTGAACTAAGCGCGATAGCTTATTAAAATTAATTGATTATAAACAATAATAAACATATAATAATAAACATTACAACTATATTCGATATTTTAAAGGTTTTAGCTGATTTTTCTTATAAAAAAGTTTTGCCATACCAAAAGTTACGTCTTCCGTGCTATTGGGGGTGGAAATTGCCTTCGATGTAAGTCAAATTTTGCCATAGCCCTCATATTAAAGTCGTCACAATTTTACGCATTTGAAATGTCCTAGGAAAAATTTCTACAGACCACATGGAAAAACCAGTAAGGAAAG